CCCCCCCCCGCCCCCACAGCCAGAGCCCTGCCAGAGAGGGGGAGGGGGCCTACTAGGAGGAGAATATTAAAGGACTGGCACAAGCACCAAGGTAAATTGAGTTTGAGACCCCCAGCTCTAGAGCCACAGTACTGCTGTAACCCAAGAACCCTGATGCCCATGGGCCTGGACTGAAGGAGATTATAGAACAAGTGAGAAGTTAGACACCAATCATGGAGTTTTCCAATAGCTTGATTAAAGGCCGTTGGCTTTGGGGATCTAGGTCACTTATGACATTTCATGCTACCATTCCAGAAGATTCCAGACATGAGGGCGCAGACACATACGTGAGGAACCTGGGCCCATTTTAAACTACAGGAGGAGGGTCTGAGTGCCAGCATAGCCTGCCTGTATCCCACACTGCCCTTACAATGGCCATGTCATCCACACTCTCCTCCTCATACGGCTTGTACTCCGGCTTTTTCTTCCGCAGCTCCACATTTTTCTGGGCTTTCTCCTTGTCCACAATATTGACGTTTACCAGGACATCGTCCTCCTCCTGCAGGACACCTGGGAGAGGAGACCATCGCCATGGAGTTACCGTACAGCCCTGGCTAGGCCCTAGCTACAGCGCTCCCAGCACCGTAGCTGAAGAATATGGTCCCCCAAACTATATATTACCCACTGTGTTCAAGGGCTTCAATTGGCCAGGAGGAACAACAGCGTGTAACATCATCACCTCCTGCTCCTCTATGCCTGCAAGGTCCTTTGTATCTGGCATTTTATCCCCGACCACACCCCAGAGAGGCTCCAAAAAGGAAAACCAAAGCCCAACACATCTAAGTGCCTTGTCAGAGTTCAGTCAGCAGTGGCACTGATGATAGTGCCCAGGAGCTCTACCCACAGACCAGGACCCTTTTGCTATCTACTGTTCAAACCAAACAAAAGCCAGTCCCTGCCTTTCCTGTTATCTTGCTCCAGCCTCTGGGTCACTCTCCCTCCCACTGCCAGTAGGGTAGGAATCTGAAGCAAATCACAGTGACTCAATGACTGCTATGCAGGGGAAGTATGCCAATAATGGAGTCCCCAGCCAAAGGGCTTCTCACACAGCAGGCGTTACACCAAGTTTGAGCTCGCTCTGCCTCTGAAACCTGTATGAAACCTGCCCCCAGCTGCCCAGACTCCAGAATGTCCCCCATTATCTCCATTCTGTGGATAGGGGCAATGTGGCCTAATGGGCAGGTCACTGGACTGGGAGTTGGAGATCTGTGTTATATTCCCTGCTTGGCAGCCTTGGGCAAGGCTCTTTCCCGCTCTCTGCCTCAGTCCTGTCCCCACACATACACCCTTCACCCTATTCCAGTTCAGCCTGTGCTTTCTCTGAGGCAGGAACTACTTGAGAGCAGGATCTGTGCAGCACCCAGAATAACCTTATTGGCTGAATTTCACAAGCACACACACTTCTACCAGTACACAGGTTGTGTGCAGAACCATATAGCAATTCTACTGACAGATTTTCTTTCAAGGATTTATACAGACAGGCCCAAAAATAACTTCAGATCTTACAGTGAGGAACAGGGAGTGGGGAAGGCCCTCATGGTAGCATGTTGACCCAATACAGACAGACGTACCCTCCACTCCCATACTGAGGTTGCAAGGGAGGCTCCTTCAGTTACCTTTGTCTTTGAGTGTCAATATAACAGTCTCTCCTTCCTGGAAGGAATCAATGGTGTGTTCCACTGTCAGGCCCTGCAGGTCCCGGGAGCTGTAGCGATCCTGGCAAAAGAAAAATCCAACAGAAGGGCATCAGGGAGGAAAAGGCCCAAATAAGCCCCCAAGCCAGAACTTCAGACACTACCAACCATCCCTGCAGTAGAAGCATAAATTAGAGTGCCAGAAGAGACCACTGATCATTTTACTGATCTCCTGTACTACACAGGCCATAGGACAGCCCTGAATTCATTCCTGATTGAACCAGATCAGCTAGAAAAACTTCCAACTTTGATTTACACATTGCCAGTGATGGAGAATCCACTACAGCCCTTGGGAAGTTGTTAACTCTCCTCACTTATAAATTTTTAAGTTAGCTAGATTGAGTGTGCAGCCTATCACACTCGAAGACAACGCTTCCAATCCTTTAGTAAGGTGCATGGCTCTTCTGAGCCTTCTCTGGTTTATAAAATCCTTCTGCATCTGTGCACACTAGAATGGGACACAAATCCAGCAGCCAAACACTGTATGTTTTCAGTGTCATACAGAGACCAGAGAAGCAGGTTTCAGATTAGATGCCTGGAGGTGGAGGACCTGCCGTTTCTACCATAAAGCAATGTCAGGCTGCAGGGGGAAACCATGGCTGCAGCACTTACAGCCCAATTCACTCCAGAATAAATGAAATTGACAGAGCCGCACTGAAGTAAGGGAGTGATTGACATGAATTAGGACCATAGCACATGGAGTCCTGGATAGCCTTCCAAGGAAGCTGTTGTCAGAACAAAGACATCAATACTACCACATCTTCAGTAAGCAAACATGGCCAGCCCTCCTTCCCAGTATGCCCCAGATCCACAACGGTCTCTCTGGGGGCACTCCCAACTCAGCAGCCATGTGTGCTATGGCAAGAGAAACTTCAGGGAGAGCCAAATAGAGACTAATACTGGAAGGAGCCGAATGAGCTGAAACTGGGACTGTAAGACAATGTTTTGTATTGATTTGAAGGGACTTTATCCTGCATTGACTGGCACTTGCTCCACCTCATGCCCTCCCTAGAACAATCAAGATGTTTGTGGCCAAAGCATTGTTCACTCTACTTCTGCATTGTACCCCTTTTCCTTAGCTGTGCTCCCCCTCCCTCTCCCACCCCCCCTCCCCCCCGACTGGCCTGTAAGCTCCTTGAGGACAGTGACCCTGTATTTGTACAGGATGAAGTACAATGGAGCCCTGACTGCGGGTGGTCTCTACACGCTGCTGAGTCATTTGTAGTCTGCCAGCACCTCCAAATTGCTCTCACCTTCTTCTTCTGTCCAAACTCTTCTTCAACAAGACTGCTGATGCCAAATTCCTGATCCATCTCTTCAAGGAGTTTGGCCTAAATTTAACCACCAAAGAGAAACAATGCTAAGAGTTTTAAAATTAACCGCACTCACACAGGATATATTAAGAAACAGGGCCTAGTGGCTAAAAGTTGGGGGAAAAAGGCTGGGGGGCAGGACTCATATGTTCCTTCCCCAGCACTGGGAAGCAGTAGAGTCTAGTGATTAGAGATGGGCTTTAGGACTTCTGGTTTCCATTATTCATTGAGCACAATCCAGAGGCGAGAACAGTGGCATGTGTGGGGAGAGAACTTTAGCTCCTGGACAAGCTCTGTCACGGAATCTATCATTTTCCCCATATCTGACTCCTTGACATTAGTTGGGAACCCGTACTGTGTCTGGAGGGATGTCCCACTGTGACTGGAGGCTCCAGGCACTACCGTAATACACCTAAACCACGCAAGAGCCAAGCCTGGCTGCTGCCAACATCTTCTAGCCTCTGCAGCAGGCTCACAGCATGATAGAGGCTGGCTAAGCTGAAGAGCATTTCTTTCAAAGCATACAGCAAGACAACATCCCAGTGCATGCATTCCTACACCAAATGCTTGCACTTGCATCAGGCTGCCTCAGAGTACCAGTCACCATGTAACTCTCCAGCACACACGGCAAATGACAGCCTCAGTTCCTTAGTGCAAAGGCAATCAGAGAGCTGGCACAACTGAGAGCAGGGTAGATGGCACCAGCTGCTGGCTAGGGATGGAACACACTTCATTACTAAACTGAAGGCAAGAGCAGCTGGTCCATTTCACACATGCAGCTAGTGTTCCCAGCAAGCTGCCCATGCAGCCCGATGCTCCAGAACTATACTAACCCTCTTCTCAGCCAGGTCCTTCTCCACCTGCAGCTTCCGGCTCCTCTCGATCCAGGCTGCTGTGTCATCCAGCCAGGGGTCATCCTCTCCCAAAGACTTGATTTTCCTGAAAGCGGAGAACAGAGGCAGAAGCTAGCAAGGCAGGCGGTTGTGCTACCTTAGAGGGTTCCCCTCCACTGTCACCACCTCTCTGGAGTCCTTCTGACCCTTTAAGTGAGCAGGCATTCAAATGCCTTCCCTGACCTGAGGAAAGGTATTGGTGGTTCAGCAATAGAATTCATATGCCTACCCCTACGGGAGACCTGGGTCCAAATTCTAATCAATGCAGAGCCATGTATTAGAGAGAGGTGGAAGAGGGAAAGTAGAGCAGGATGGTTCAATTGTCAGAGTTCCATTCCTAGCTCTGCCAGGCTTCATGTGTGACCCTGCATCAGTCACTAGAACTACCCAGTGGTTCAGTTTCTCCACCTGTTAATCTAGATAATCTTCCCTCACCTCACAGGGAGGTGCTTTGATATGACAGTGATGAGAGACACTAAATACCCACTAAGCAATGCGTAAGGTTTTAGGATTCCCAATTTCGGTCACAACCAGACACTGGAAATTGAAATTCCTCTGGAAAGCCAAGACAGATGATAAAATGGATAGCCAGCACCTCTGAGTCGGCCATGGCTGGGTATTGCAAAGACAGACCACTTCTCCCTACTGCCTGAGGGAAAGCAGTGTGGTCTGGGAATAGGACACCACGCACACCATTCCTGGTTCCTTGATATCGGTTGGGGACCTGTCCAGTGCCTGGAGTGATGCCCCACTCTGACTGGATGCTCCAAGCACTAACATAATATACCTATTATGACAGTTCTCCTCTCTGTGACTGTTTTCTCCTCTCATCTGTGTCAGGCTTTGCTGGACCCAATCATTGCATATTGGGAACTGTCAATTGATCAGAGCTAGTATTGTATTCTTTGCACTAGCCACTGCCAGATGCTTCAGAGGACAAAAACCCTGTAGTAGGCAGGGTTGGATAACCTTTAGAATCCTGTGTGGATACAAAATTCCGTGTGTGGACACGGAATACCTATCTGCAAATTTGCAGGGTTCTAGATACAGATGCAGATTCAAATTTTGCATCCACAAAAAGGAGTTGTGAATATCCATGGATTTGCAGGGCTCTGATAATCTGCTCACCATGAAGATCTCATGTAACAATTCATAGCTTAAGCCCTGAAGCCCAAGTGTTTAGATCTCTCATAACGTGACTGTATTAACTACGCTGAATATTGTTGTTCTCCATAGAAATGTCCAGCCACCTCTTAGAATCCAGCTACATTCTCAACGTTAATATCCCGTGTCAATAAATTCTGCAGGCTACTAGCGTGGCATCATCTAGTCTGACCACAGAATACCACAGATCATAGGACTGCCCTGAAGTAGTTCCTAGTTGAACTAGAGCAGATCTCAAAATATCTAATCTTGATTTAAACATGGCTAGCAATAGAGAATCCACATGAGCCCTTGATCACTTGTTCCTAGGGTTAATTACCCTCACTAGGAAAAACGTGAGCCTTATTTAATGACACCAAGCCATTAGATATAGGCACCCCAGGTTCAACCTCTGTTGTCAACCCAGGATGTCCTTACATGTGTATAAAGTGTGGGGCCAGAGCAATAGACAGTGGGTGTTGACACTGCATCTCACTCAACAATAATAGGGCCAAGCAGGAACAAAGCAAAGTGGGGTGGGGAATTTACCCTAATTTCTGGTTGAGAAGCCGCTTCTCCTTAGCAGCTGCTAGTTTCTCCCGGATCTCCTCCCTCTGCTTTAGCACAATTGGGTTGATCACCTCGGCTGCCACAGGGTCCTCCTTACTGCCCACTTCTGCAGGGGAAAACATAGGACAGGGGAGTTGCAGCAACAGCCCCCCTCTTGCCACTTGCATGCCTCTTATTAGTGCTTAGCTGGTGAAAAAGAACAGCAGTGGGGTCAATTATAGGTCTTACTCAACTGGGAGGGGGCATAGGGTGGAGTCTTTCCCACATCTGATCACAGAGCCCTGCTTCCTGGGGACAGAGCAGCAGTGGGATCTGGCAGACTTTGGATCCAGGGGAGGAAGGAGGAGACCACATTCCAAAGGGCTGCTTAGCAGGAAGCAGGCATGTTTCTGGGAGCTTGGTCCAGAACAGTCTGTAGGCATACACTGTATGGTGATGCTCAGGGCTTGACAAACAGCGGCAAAAGCTGCTCGCCAGCCCTGCACTGCACATGCACAAGAGCTGCCAGTAAACAGGGCGTGCGGCTGAAATCTACTCGCCACGGGCAAGTAGATTCTATAGTTTGTCAAGCCCTGGTGATGCTAGACAGCAAGCTGAGGCACAGAGGTCAGGAAAACTATGAGCTCTGTCTGTGTCTAGCTGAGATCTGCTCTTCTCCACCAAGAAGGGGTCCTACAGCTCCCAAGCCCTTCTATAACATCTAGTTCTGCCTGCCCTGCCATCATACCTAGTGCAGAAAAGCATGCTGGAAGGGAGCCCCTAGAGGCCTCAGCTGGCAGAGAGCAGAATTTTAACAATCACTTAGCACTGCCTTAACTCTATGCCTACTGGCTTCCAGACCAAGATTGAGAGTTCTTGACCAGCCCATCCAGATCATCTTGAGAGAATTCAGACAGAAGCTGGAGAGACTTCCAGCCAGCCCTCATCTTGAGGGACACACCCGGGTTCAAGTCTCTGCTATATCACAGACTCCCTGTGTGATGTCAGGCAAGTTGCTTAGGCTATGTCTAAAGTACAGACTTTTCTCAGCGAGGGGTCTGATTAGGCTTGACTAGCAACTGACAAGAACTGTGCCAGCAACAGCCTCTAGTGCAGGCTCGTTTGTATAGCTACAGCTACACTTGGAGCAGTTTTGCTTCATGGGGGGATAGGATTACTAGACCAGCACAACACCAGTATTACTGAATCAGGTGCTCCACTGATAGAGTATACTGATAAGGAGCTCCTAGCACAAACAAGACCCCTGTCTTTCATTTCTTCATCTGCGTAACAGGGTTGTCCTACTGCTCCAGGGAGCTGTGTGGATAAATATATCAAATGCTGAAGCTCTCAATGCTAGAGAGATAGCGGCCAGATAAGTACACACAACAGTATTATTTGTACAGTGCCTAGCACAAAGGGGTCTTGGGCCATTGGGTGTTACAGAAAGAGCCTAAGAGAAAGATATTTAATGGTTTCAGAAAGCTTAAGACCAAAAAGGACCATTAGGTCGTCCAGCATTACCTCCTAGGCTATATCAACACTGCAATGCTATTACCATGTCTTCACAGCAAGCCTGTTATTTCAAAATATAACAGGCTCGCTATTCCGACGTCCCTTTAACCCTCATTCCACAAGAAGAAAGGGACGTTTCAGAATAGCGGGTTATTTTTAAATAAGATACACAATTGGCATAACTCAAATCCTATTTCAAGCTACAGTACAGTGTAGATGCACCCCTATATAGCATAGACTAGAGAATTTCAACCCAGCATGCCCCACAGTGAACCCAGTGCACACCCACTATAATACACTCAAAAGAGAGAACATTAAGGTGGCAAAATATTAGAGACCCTGCATTTTTGTGACATTCCTACAAAGTAGTTTGGGACCAAACACAAGGTTTGGGGATTTAATTAACATGAAAGCCAGACTTACCCTTTTTGATGGCATTGACTTCCAAAGGCTTCAGCCCAAGTTTAGCTCGGAGTTTACTGCAGATAGAACAAAACATAGGGTTACATGACATAGCCATCAAATACACACAGCCTGCAAGACAGGACTCCTTTACAGAAAGGAAGAAAGCACAAGCACTAGTATGGGACTCAGAACAGCAAGGTTCAACTCCACCCCTTTCTGTGTGACATTGGACAGGTCAATCGCTCTGTGCCTCAGGTTTCCACTGGGGTATTGTGAGGATAGATACATCAATGATTAGGGAGCGACAGGAATGGGGAGAAGGGAAGACAAATACCAAAGCATTGCTTTATGTTTGCACAGTGTTTACCACAATGTGGCTCTGGTTCATGACTGTGGTTCCTGGGAGCTACTGGAACACACAAGTGATAAAATCCAAGGCTGAGGCTTGGTTACCCAGTTTTCCTTAGTGAAAACTATGCACACAAATGCCCTATGCCTTCCCTGGGAATTGCACCTTGACAGTGGCAATGCTTGTACATCTAGTGACCCTGAGAGCTCTGCTGGCAGGAGTCTAACTTGTGGGAAGGTGACCCAAGATCTTCCAAGTTCTTAGTCTAGTGTTCTCCCCCTAGATCATGCTGCCTCCCCTTCTAAAAACGGTTACAGAAACACAAGGTAACATGCTAGCAGAAAGCATGACAGACTAGATGGTGGAGCCTTGTTCAGGCCCTAAGCGATGGCTGATGTACTGCAAAGATTTCAGATTCAGAGTCATCTTTACGTATCTCTGACCCACTGCCCATTCATTTCTTTCCAAATTCCCCAAAGAGCCAGGAGGCTCTGCATTCTCAGTACCAATTAGAGAAATAAGTTACAGAACCTACGTTTCCCACACAAAATTAAAGTCACTTAGCCTGAATGTGTCAGTTTTCCCATCTGAAAATTGGCGATAAAAGTATCATCCAACTTCATAGGATGGAATAAATGCATTTGGTGTTCAGACACAATGGGAAGGGCACCTTAGATATAGCATCTCACTTACTTGGTCTCCTCGATGCTGAGAGAAGCATCCCCCAAGCTGGCCTTTGAGCTAGCAGCTGTTTAGAGATAAATCAGAGAGATGTTTGTAAACAAAATAAAAGTAAAATTTATTCAAACAAGGATTTTGTTAAAGCCAGAAGGGTTCATTCTAGGGATGTTAGCTATCCTGCAATTAAATAGTCACGTAACGGCATGAAATGTTAGTGATTACATGACTATTCAACAGTCCCCAGGGTTGGGGCCAGCAGCCAGTGCACTCCCAGACCCACTCCCAGGGAGGCCTCTGCCATCCCAAGGTCTTGCTTCTGTACCAGCTCCTCTTGTGAACCAGCTGCCTGCTGCCCTAATGTAGAGGCAGCAGTGTGGGGCAGCAGCATCCCTGCCCATGGGGAGTCCAAGCTCCTCACAGACAGAAGCTGCTCTGCGGGATGGATCCCCTGCAGACGGGCTGCTTCCGCAAAGCAACCTTTGCCCGTGGTAGGTCCAGGCTCACCACAGACAGAGGCTGCTCCGTGGGATGTGGAACAGCCTCTATTCACCGGGAGCTCAGCCTGCCAGAAACAGAGGCTGCTTTGAGGAAGCCTCCCCTGCCCCACCCCCTGCGCTGCTGCCTCTGATATGCGGGGGGGAGGGGGGAGGGGGAGGGAGGGAACTTGCTGGCTCCTCCCAGCACTGGCTCCTGCCTGCCCTACTTCCCCCTACCTCTGTAGGAGGCAAGTACATAGAGCCGATAGGTGCAGGGAGCTGGCTTGAAAGCTGGCTCCCTATGCACATCAGCTCTAGCCCACCCCACCTCACTGCTGCCTCTATCAGCTCCCGCTCTGTATCAGCTCCTTAGATACAGAGGCAGCAAGGGGGAGGGGAAAATGTGTGCAGTTGACAGGATTAACCAATAAGTCTAGGCTTATCGGTTAATCGTATAGTTGACTATACATTGACATCCCTAGTCCACTCTGATCAACTAGTGTGACCTCCTGCATAGCATTTACCAAAGACCCCACCCAGCTCAGACATATACACTTTTTATAATGAACAATGCTGTGAAGACAGACACACTTTACGGTAACCTGAAAAATCAGCATGTCTCCTATAGTACTGCCCATTACCTGGAATAAAGATCCCCACAGAGGGAACCAAGCTGTTATTCTGTTGAATAGCTTGCACTATTCTGGAGCATCAAAGGTCAGTGGCTAGATACCATGACACAACAGAATATGGTACCGTAAAACAGGATGTACTAAACCGATACTGCCAGAAAAAAGGTCTATCCAAATCATAGGTCATTACAGTTATTGCTTAGAGTTATGGATTAAGACACCTTTTCAGGGCACTTTATACATAGATGCTCCATAACCAACCAAAGAAGCCCCTTTACATTAGGGCTGTGTCTACACTGGCATGAATTTCCAGAACTGCTTAAAACGGAATACTATTCCGTTTTCAGTTTCCGGAAAAGGAGCGTCTACATTGGCAGGCTGCTTTTCCAGAAAAGCCCTTTTTCCAGAAAAGCGTCTGTGGCCAATGTAGACGCGCTTTTCCGGAAAAGAGCCCCAATCGCCATTTTCGCGATCGGGGCTTTTTTCTGGAAAAGACTACTGGGCTGTCTACACTGGCCCTTTTCCAGAACAGTGTTCCGGAATAAGGACTTATGCCCGTGCGGGAGCAGAATAGTTTTTCCGGAATAGCAGCTGATTTTGTACAGTAGAGAGTCGTTGCTTTTCTGGAAATTCAAGGGCCAGTGTAGACAGCTCGCAGCTTATTCCGGAAAAGCGGCTGATTTTCCGGAATAAGTGGCCCAGTGTAGACACAGCCTTGACGTGTCCTGACTTCATCTGCTCCAAAATCCTTTCATAACCCATTTATGAAAAGTTACACGTATGTGCATGTTCACACTCCTTGCTTTACTCTTTCACTCCTCTTCCTTCTGCAAACTCACCTCACCACCCCTTAAGTCAGCAAGTCTACATTTTCCCTAAACCTCATGCCCCACCTCCACCAGGACAGCCCCGATGACTCCTCCTCCTCCATCTCATGAAACTTCACATGCCCAACACTAAACCATCACAGATTAGAATGCCTCATCAATACCCCCCAACGAAGTCATGCCCCCTGCCCTCCTAAAGCTCATGCCTCAGTGTCACGACATAGGGTGCACATGCACTGATCCCCCACCTATCCCATTCCCAAAACGTGACCTCCATAACATCTCCCCAGCAGCCAGTCCCCGCCATAAAACCTCACAGCCAATCCAAACTCTCATAGCCACCTTCACACCTCCAGACACTTGCCATCCCAGAGCACCTCTCGCCAAGCCTACTACTCTACTCATTCCTGAGCTCATTACCACACCAATCCCCTCCCTGGGCCGCAGAGCCTTGACCATAACGCTTCTTCAAGCCCCATAGTCACACGCCAATCTTTAACTCCCATAATCGCCTGCAGAACCCGAGAGCACCCCCACGCAAATTCCTCTCTCTCGGACACTCACTGACAGCCCATCCTCTCGGCCATCAATAGCCCCTCAATGGCTGCCTCCTCCTCTACCCCACACTTCTTCCCTTTGGGCCCTTTCCCAGAATCCCGGTGTCCTCCCCTCAAAAGCGTCTCAGTCTCTCGGGCTGCTCGTCCCATAGCCTCCCCATTCCCCTGCCCGGAGGCTGACCCGCCTCGTATCCCTCGTCGCGCTTCTCCCGCTTGATCCGCCGGGGACCCTCGGCTTCCTGGGCACCCCTGTCCCCGGCCCGGCCATGGATGGCCCCGGGCGCCTCCTCTGCC